GTGCTTTGTTCTTGATCATGGGAGGAAACATTCAGTCTTTCATCATTAAGTATAATACTAGATATAGGGTTTTTGTAGATTATCAAGTTGAGGAAGTTTGCATCTATTCCTGTTTTTCTGAGCTTTTTTAAAAAATCGTGAATGAGTATTAAATTTTGACAATTACTTTTTCTACCTTGGTTGATAAGAACCCATAACTTTTCATTAGCTTATTAATAAGGTAGATGACATTGGTTTTAGAATATTGAACCAGCCTTAAATCTCTGGAATAAACCAGAGGTGGTCATAATGTGTAATTCTTTATATATATTGTTGAATTCTATTGCTCATATTTTGAGAAGGATTTCTGCATCTATGTTCATGAAGGATATTATTGGTCTATAGTTATCTTTCTTTTATTTATTTATTTATTTTAAGCATCTTCACCTAGTTTTGATGTCAGGGTAATACTAGCTTCATAAAATGAGTTGGGAATTTTTTGTATTTTCTTGAAGAGATTGTGTAGAATTGATATTAATTCTTCTTTAAATGTTTGCTAAAAGTCTCCAGTGAAACCATCTCAGCCTGGACATTTCTTTTTGAGAGGCTTTTCATTACAAATTCATTTTCCTTTATAGGGATGTCTATTTCACATTGAATGGATTATAATAGTTTGTGCTTTTCAAAGAATTGGTCCATTTCATCTGATTTGTCAAATTTATGTGTGTAGAGATGTTCACAGTATTGCTTATTATCCTTTTGATATCTTTCCTGATATTGGTAATTTGTGTCTTCTCTCTATTTCGTTGTCAGTCTTGCCTGGAGGATTAGCAATTTTATTGGTCTTTTCAAAGAACCAGTTCTTTGTGTCATTGATTTTCTGTTTTCAGTTTCGTTTTTTCTGTTCTTTTCATTTTCTTCCTACTGCTTGCTTTGGGTTTATTTTGATCTCTTTTTTCTAGGTTCTTGAGGGTGAGAGCTTAGATTAGTTATTTGAGACTTTACTGCTTAAATTAGTTCCACAGATGTTGGTATGTTGTATATTTTTATTCAGCTTCATATATATATATATATATGAATATGTGTATATATATATATTTTTTTTTATTTCCCTCGAGACTTCCTCTTTGACCAATGGATTATTTAGAAGAGTACTATTTAGTTTCCAAGTGCTTGGAGATTTTTCTGTTATTGATTTCTAGTTTGATTCCATTCTGGGTGGGGAACATACTCTGTATGATTTCCATTTTTTTTTCCTTTTTTTTGAAGTTTGTTTTATAGGCCAGGATAAGGTTTATCTTGGTGTATGTTCTGTGGGCACTTGAAAACAATGTGTATTTTGCTGTAATGTGGTATAGAATGTTCTGTAAACGTCAGTTAGATTCTGTTAGTTGATGATGTTGTTAAGTTCTTCTGTATCCTTGGAGATTTTCTGTCTAGTTATTCTATCAGTTGTTGAGAGAGGGAGTGTGGTTGGTGCATGCACATTTAGGATTACTATATCTTGGTAGATAACCTTTTTATCATTATAAAATGTCTCTCTTTTTCTCTGGTAATTTTCTATGCTCTGAAGCCTACTTTATTGGATATTAATGTAGCTACTCCTTCTTTCTTTTAATTAATGTTTGTATATTGTATCTTTTTCCATCCTTTTACTTGCAACCTGATTATATCATTTGAAATGAGTTTCTTGTAGACATATAGTTGGGTTATGTTTTCTAATCCACTCTGCCAATCTCTGTTTTAATTGGTGTATTTAGACCATTTATATTTAATGTACTTATTGAGATATGTTAGGGCTTAAGTCTTTTCTGTTTATTCTATCTGGTTTTCATTTCTCTATTTTCTTTTCTCAGCCTGCCTGTGGTTACTATAACATTTTTTAGAATTCCATTTTGGTTTATCTGTAGTGTTTTGAGTATTTTTTGAGCATATTTTTTTTCTGCTCTTCAGACTGGGTATTTTCCATTGTTCTATCTTTCAGTTCCCTGTTCTTTCCTCTGTTCCCTCCATTCTGCTGTTGAGCCCTCCATTGAGTTTTTTATTTCCATTATTGAATTTTCATTTCTAAAATTTCTGTTTGTTTCTTCAGATCTTCTTTTTTTTGCTGAGACTTTATTTTTATTTGTTTCAGTGTGTTTATAATTTCTTGTTGAAGCATTTATGTGGTGACTGTTTTAACATATTACTCAGATAATTCTAACATCTTTGTCATCTTGATATTGGCCTTGATTAGTTTTACTTTTCTATTGAGTTTGAAATCTTGGTTCTCAGTATGGTGAGTGATTTTTACTTGAAACCTGGACATATTGGGTATTGTGTTATGAGACTCTAAATCTTAGTTAAATCTTCTGTTTTAGCAGTTTTGTTTTTTTCTTTTTAAAACAGCTCTAGCAGGAAAAGGAAGGAAGGTGTCACCTTATTACTATTGCTACCAGGTGGGGATAGAAGTCCAGGTTTTCTTCTCAGCCTCTGTTGACACCTAGGCCAGGGGTGCCTTGTTACTGCTGGGCAAGGGTAGGCCTCCTCTTGTGCCCGGTGGGGTTAAGAGTGCCTCATTACTGGTCGCCTGACACCAGTGGGGGCTGTTCTCATTACCACTGGGCGGTGATGAAAGTCCTGACTCTTCTTCTAGGTCTTCCCTGGCGCCACTCCAGTGTAGGAGATGGAGGAACACTGTGTTACTGCTGGTGGTGGTAGAAGTCAGATACCCCTGTGATCTCCACTATCACTGCAGGGAGGCCTTGTGACTGGCTCCCTGCTCAACCTGCTCTGATGCCACCCAGGTGGGAGGGTCAGGGCATCTCATTTAAGCCTTTCAAGGGTGGAAGTCTAGGCTCCCCACTCAGCCTTTGAGAATGTTGTTGGGGATGGTGTCCAGTTTTCTCTCTGGTGTTTGGCTGGAGTCGACTGGTTATTGTCTAAAAGTTTTCTATCTTGCTAGGCTTTCCCTTTCCTGTTCCTCTGGCCTTTTGGATTCATTTAAATTAAGCCTTATACTTTTTTGACTACTGTAAGATATACTGGAAATTAATGAAAAGACAATATTGAAATTTTAAACAGTGTTTTTTGATGTGTTAAAATTACTTTTAATTTTATTTTTATGCTTTTTTCCCCACTTACAGGTGAAGATTTTGCAGAAATACATCAGAATTGGAATGCTCATAGCTCTTCTTCAGAGCATTCAAAAGGATATCGCAACAGAGAATTCACACGAGGATTTTCCCGGGGTAGATATCCTCGACCTGGCCATGGCAGGCTCCCACCTCCACAGTTTTATAACTCAGAACATATGGTCCCTCAGGAGACTTCGGGATTTCCACCTCAGAGACAAGATAATCCCATCATGCCGCAGTATCCCTTTCCTCCTCCAGTGTTTGACATGCATAATTTTTCACTCCCTCCTCCTCCACCACCACCTCCACCACCTGCATCTGGAAACATGGGTTGGGCTGCACCTGGCATGGCGCCTCATCCGTTACTTCCCTTACCATACTCCATACCTCCACCTCCTCCCCCTCCACCCCTGCCTCCGCACCCCTCTTCTGGAGAGAGTAGTTCTTCTCATTTTGGACCTTACTATTAGGTGAACGAACGTATGCATTTCCAGAGAAATGTGGACTTTTTATATTATATGAGAAGGATTTTTTTTAAAAAAAGAAAGGAATTATGGAGCTAGATTTTTAAAACATTGTAAAATACTAAATGATTCGTTCAATTGTAAGTTGATATATGTATTTGTAACCTTTGTGAAATTGTATCCATATGAAAATTTCACTTCAAATTCTTTGGGAGGGATTCTATTATGTAATATTTAATTAAAGCTTCAAAACCATGCTTTCCCCATCCCTGCCCAGTTAAACAATACATGTAGGTCTAATAATAGATCTGGAGCAACTTTCATCATGGATTAGAATATACTGAACACATTGTCTTCTTGGTATGTCTGAAATAAGATCTTGAAGTCCTACTGAGAGTCTTTAAAATAAACTATTTTTATAAACTTATACTTTGGAAATTGATTTTGATTGTAAATGCAATTTATCGGTAAATTTAAATGTCCTAATTTTCTTTTAAACAAGTGTACTGAGAAAGAAAGTTTTACGTATTATTAGAAGCTATGACTATAATTACAGTTAATATTAATTATGCACATTTATTAATTAGGCAGGCTTTTTATTATTTATGCAGATTTCCATTATTTGGGCACTATTCAGTAGACTTTACTACTTAACCACTTAAAGGGGCACAAGGATTATTTGCAATTAAAGGTGTTATTTATTCACAATAAAATGTATTTAACCCCACATTAGGAGACTATGTCTTCCATATCTGTTTCCTAGATTCTCACATGCCTGGCAAAGGTTAGTTACTTAATAAATATTGAATGACTGACTTAATTTAGAATTTTTAATTAAATGACCAGTGAGTATTATTTTACATTGTGAAATTAAATGTAAGGAAAATTACAGAATTTTAGAAATAGAAGAGGCCTTAGAAGTAGTCCAAACTAGTCCTCATTTAATAAATAAGGAGGAGCCTAACTAAGGGTTCCAAAGAGGTTAAGTAACTTAACTAAGGTCCCTCAGTGAGATGGCAAAGAGTTAAACCTAATTTTCATGATTCTCAGATCAGCACTTTCTACTAAATTGGTGCTTCCTAATCTTTCATTCCTTGACGTTCTTAGAAAATAATATTTGTATGCACATTGGGGTAATCTAGAGGCCATTCATCAAAAGCCCATGGACTCTGGTTGCACCCAGGCTCCCCCTACCTCCCCATGGGCTGAGGAGACTTTTTGCATGGTTTCTGGGGCACAAATTGAGAAGCTCTTGCTTTGGTATACATTGACTTTATCATGTATTGTACTTTCTTTATTGTTCTTTCTTGAAATGTTTTTGCAGCTTCTCTTTAGGATTTACCTTCATAGATTATGGCAGTCTTTTTCTGGTTGATAGAATATTGTCAGAGTTAAATAAGATTATGTCTAGAAGCACTAAAATAAAGTAATACTTTTCTATAAGAATGGGAAGAGTAAGATATTACCATCCAGTTATGATAAATCAATAAGCCATTATAATCACCATGGCATTTAAAAAATCTTTGAACCTCTTTTCCTCAAGTACTGGTATCTGACAGATATTGACTATCTGAAGAAACGTAGAGCTATTGATACCATTTGATATCTGCTTTCAATTAAGTTGCTACCTTAAACACTTAGGTCCAATTTGCTTTCCTCCTCACGCTTAATTCAGGGTTTTTGAACTTCAAGGTGCCTAGAAATCACCTATAATAATCACCTAAGCTTTAGATAGCTTCTTAAAAATGCACATTCATGGACTTTAGCTCCAGATTCAAATTCAGTAGATCTGAGGTGAAATCTAGGAAACTATTTTTAACAAGTACTGCTGGGTGATTAATTTCAGGATTTATTGTTAGTCTGTATAGATTTCAGGGTAAATATGCTACCACAACTCCTTGCCATTTACTCTGAAACTTCAGGAAGTACTGTTCGGAGTAGTGATGAGGATGTGCGGGTTGACAGGGAAGAAGAGAGAAATAAAACCATAGGTACTTAGAATGTATCTGTAGTATCTCACTTGGTTCTCAGAGCTGTATTTTGCTAATTATATCTATTAAGAGGAGGAGCCCATTGTCTCTTTAAATTTATTTAGAAGAGAAATATTACAATTTTCATCATCCACATCGTAGTCTTACAGTGCTGCTTTTAAAATTGTGTGGCCTAGATCTTTAAACTGCCAGCTGCTATCAAGATAAATACAATGTTCTACTACACAGTTTCTCACCTCAAATAGAGAATTCTTTATGTTAGCCTTTTCCTGTGGTAAAGTCGATTGGCATAGACATGATTGGATGTGGATAATACCTTTGTATATATGTAGTTGTAAATGTGGTCAAATTAAAATTATTGCCTAAGCTAATACATTTGTTTTATTAAGGTGAATAACTCTTCTTTTACAGAAAAGATAGTGAGGTGCATGATAATGGGATGACTTGTGCACTTATTAGAAATAGGTATTGAAAGAACTGGGTTGAGACTGTCAAGTGGAGATCTGGAATAGTGCAATTTTAGAATTTACCAAAGAACATTTTTTAAAAGCCATGTAGTTAAGTCATAAAGTTCAATACCAAAATGTATCCATCTCTTCTGTGTAGCTAAATTATTAGTAGTCCCTAATTACCAATACTAATTGGACATAGGGGCGATGAAAGTAATAAGCAATGGCAGGGGCCCTGTGTGCAGAGGTCTCTAGTATTTTGGGGCGACAATGAGCATAGAATGCTCTCTCCCACTCTTCCCACCACATTCAGATTTATTACCTTCTACCCTCCACTCCCACTACTTTAGTGCTACTTTTTTTGTTGGTCGCTTAGAGTTGGTGAATACTAAGCACATTAAAAAATTCAGGACATATGATGAATTAGAGATGAGTAGAATCTGAGTTCTATTCTATTATAATTTTAAATTATTTAATAAATAAGTGGTATTTTAAATTCCCAGGTGCTAAAAATCTTAGTGTCCTTTGTAAGGACGATTTCTTAAGATAACAATCATGTGATTTGGGGAGAGAGGGAATCTCAGACAAATGTGTCATGTATATTCTATTTCAACAATAATATTTGCATTTGCATTCAATTTTATAAATTTACATCAAAAGTTTTAAGAGAATATGATTAACTGGTTTCGATGCTTTCTACTAGTTCTTTTACACAGCGTCGCATCATTGAGTTCTTTTCTGTTGCAGGAAAAAGCAGTCCTTCCTCCCTCCGCATGACACAAGTCAGGGAGTATAAGCAGAGGAAGAGAAATAATTCCTTAAGTGTCTGCTTCTCACCCTTTCCCAGTTGGTTTGGCTAAGATACCTGAAGTAGGCTTGAGAAAATTCTTTACTTAAGACACTGTCTTCGCATGCTCAGAGTATTTAGAATTTTTCAAAACAAATAGTTGAGTACTTCTGTGATTAAGTGCTAGGGAAAGCAAATTAATATGTTGTTAAATACTAGATCCTTTTAAAAAAGAATTAAAAACTAGATTAACATTTTGTAGAGTGAATTAATTTGTGTTCACACAGTATGCATTCATAAAATCTTTGTTCTGACATTGCATATTTGATACCAGTGATGATAAGTTCTAAGGTATAACTATAAAAAATACTTTTAATAGAATGCAAGCTGGAAAATAAAAAAATGAAAATTACTTATGAGACTTCATTGTCAGGTCAATGTTGCAGCTATACTATTTATGATTTAATATGTTCTACACTATTTATGATTTAATACAGTTAGGGTAAAAAAAAACCCCGCACGTTTGTATCCTTTCCTGCAGGTAAATTGCCAATATTCCAGAAGCCTTTCTTTACTTCTCATTCTGTGACCTAGTCTGAATTTATGTAGCAATTATGTTTCAGAAAACCAAGGAAACAATTACTGTAGTGTGCCTGAAATTAAAGTGGAGAAATATCATCTTCATACCAGCTATCAGACCAAAGCGCTTGTTTTGAGCTGCTAGCAGCGGTGAAAGGACATTTCATTTTTGACTCTGTGTGCACTCTGAGCCTAAATTGTTATCATTGTTGGATTAGACATGTACAGTCACTTAGTATCCTGGAAACGAGGTACAAATTCATGTATCAAATGGTAAAATAATGAAAATGGCCAATGAAGAAAAATACCAAAATTTTTTCTGCACATTCAATGAAAAAGTGTATATACTTTTCTGTATATTATATATATACTTTTATTGTATATATACATATATATATTCGAAGGCTGGTACAAAAAGCCTGATGGTTATACATATTTTAGTTGTTTAGTACTTGTTATTTCTACTCATAAGGTTGATGAAATGGAAATAAATATTGTATTGGTTTATTTGGTAGGTAGTTGCATTACACTATCCCGCAAACAGAACAAACTGACCTTATGTGGTAAAAGCTTTTTATTTATATTGAAGATAGATGGGCTAAATATTGTTTCCAGCAAGAGCCATGACCCACATAGTAATGAAATACAACAAATACAAAGGAGTACAATCTATTAGCATAGAATCCCTATGACAGTGTGATAGATGATGGTGGTCTGTAATGTTTGGATGGTAGAGATGAACTTATAAAATGTTGTTAGCATCAATAGCCACTACATTGTGCCAAACCTGTTATTGCAGCTCTTTAAACCTCTTATGTGCTCCCATGACATACAGGAGTGCTGGGAAAACATTTGCCCTCTTCCCCTTCCCACCGCTGTTGCAGATATCTGTCTGACTACACATCATGCAGTGTTTCATCTCGGATATGATTTGGGACTGTCAGGCTCAGTTACACAAGCAAGCTCTCTTAGTAGCTGATTCATTCAAAGCAAATGATTAATTTTCTTTAAGATGTTTGGTTTTCGACAAAGTGTAATTGCAAGTATATTTATTGGCAACAATATAAGTTCAAATGAATTCTGTTAAGCAAGGTTATGGGCAGAAAAATATTTAAGGGCAGAAGAAAATAACTCAGCATTAACTTTATTAATACATTCAAATACAGTTAGCTTGAAACATATGAAATTGTCTACAAAATGGCAATTTCATATGGTTCAATCTAATATATGGGCTATTGATTGTTTTATTTCCCATATTTATTTTTCTTCATAGAACATCTCCCTGTACCATTACTCTCTAGAACACATTTTGGGAAATACTGTCATAGATGATAGCTGGCAGAAATTCATGGGATGGCACATTTCTCAGAGATATCTCTAGTTCTGCTAAGAAGACAATCTTTTAGAAGATCATGGGCCTGGGAAGAGCTATTAAGA